GATGAGCACGGAAACAAAACACTATATCTGAAAACTCTGGAAGATCAAGGAATCAATTTAAGAAATGTGTCCAGTATCTTAGGAGGAGCAGGTGCCAATGCCACCAAGGCTTTTAAGGAATTGTATAACCTGTGGTTCGATGAGCGCGGCAAAAAAACGAAACTTTTATTAACCCTGGAGGACAAAGGTATTAATTTACCCAACATATCCAGTATTCTACATAAGGCAGGTTCAAACGCTGCCAAATCATTCAAGGATTTGTATGACCTGTGGTTTGATCAACACGGAAACAGAACTCAATGCCTAAAAACATTAGAAAAGGAAGAAATAAGTCTGGCCAGAATATCTGATATATTACACGGATCTGGATCTAGTGCCTCCAAAGCATTCCGAGAGCTGTATGAGTTGCTTTTCGACGCTCAAGGAAATAGAACCCAGTATTTAAGAACACTGGAAAAAGAAGAAGTACATCTAGCCAGTATATCAAGTATTTTAAGTGGATCAGGATCGAATGCAGCCAAAGCCTTCAAAGACCTTTACCACTTGTGGTTTGACGAAGATGGAAATAAAGCTAAATATTTAAGAAGCCTGGGAAATGAGGGAGTAAACCTATCCAACATGTCAAGTATCTTAAGTAAATCCGGGTCTAACGCTCCTAAGGCTTTCAAAAACCTGTATAGCATTTGGTTTGATGAAAGTGGCATGAAGACTCAGCAACTGAAAGCTATTGAAGAGGAAGGTGTTAACATTGCTAACATATCCAGTATACTACATGGTGGCGGATTGAATGCTCCTAAGGCATTTAAAGAGTTATGTGACCTTTGGTTCGACGCAGAGGGAAAGAAAACGCAGTACCTAAAAACACTAGAGAAGGAAGGAGTGAATCTAACGAATATGTCTAGTATTCTGAGTGGAGCAGGAGTCAACGCTCCCAAGTCCTTTAAAGAATTATATCACGCCTTTTTTGATGAGCGAGGAAAGAAAAAAAGAAATTTAAGACACTTCATCAAGGGAAAAGGTGAAGAAAATTTTACAATGCACAATATATCCGGTATTTTGAGTGGTTCGGGGGCCAAAGCTGTAGATGCTTTTAATGAATTCCATGATATTTGCTTTAATAGTGAAGGAGAGAGAACCAATCTATTAAATGACTTTTACAATATTGGCTTCAGACCAAGTAACTTATCCTCCATATTATGTAGAGGAGGCATTCGTGCTGGCACCAATTTAAGAAACTTCTATCTTGTGTGTTTTAATGACGAAGGAGAGAAGTCGAAGCTTTTAGAAGATTTCTATAATATAGGATTCAAGCCAGTCGACTTGTGCAGTTTATTGAGCGGTACAGCAAATGCCTTAGAGAAGCTGTACGACTTTTGTTTCGGAGAATCAAATAAGTATCTAAATGATTTCCTTAATGATACAGAAGGTTTCACGATAAGTAATTTGTGCAACATTTTACATGGAGCGGAAGATAATGCCATTTCAGCTTTAAAGGATTTTCACGATGCTTGTTATGACAACGATGGGAGAAGAACCATTTATTTATATGATTTCTATAATGAACATTTTAATTCCAGTGACTTAGCTGGTATATTGTCTATGACAGGAAATAATGCCGCTTGCATTCTAAAGAGATTTCATGAAACTTGCTTTAAAGGTGAAAATTACCTAAACCACTTTTTAGTTAAACAGAAAGTTTTCAAGCCAAAGGACTTATCTAAAATATTATACGGAGCAGGAACTAATGTTTGTCATGTCTTTAAAAAATTGCATGGTCTTTGTTTTGATCGAGCTGGACACAAAACAAATTATTTAAGCAGCCTTATAAAGGATTATGAATCAAATGAAATAATTAATACACTATACCAAAAACTTCGAAAATCTTCATCAGGCTGTGTAGATTAAGATTAAAACTATAGTAATAAATGTAGCGAGGAAAAGGGTTGATTATAACTTTAAAACTAATATAATATAAAAAAAAATCTTTATTAGATATAAAAAAGTGATAAATTAAAAATGTATGTATGCTGTATACCATTTATGTATGAATTTATAAACCAATGGAAATTAATCGTTTATTTTATGATTTGATGAAAGTACTTAAAAAAATCATTATCCGAAAATAACGGTTTCAGCGGATAGAAAATACATTTGGTATTTCCTCACATAGTTTATTTCAGAGTATTTCTCTGAACACCTATCGTTTAGTATTTCAGAGTGATAGTGAAGAATGCTTAATGTTCTAGATCTGGTAACACTGCTAATTGAGCCTTGTGAAAAAAAGAGCGGAAAAACAAGGAAAACTTTTCTAGTTAATAGAAAGCGCGGTAGAAATTATTAACTCTAATTCGCTGCGCTTAAAGAGTGCTCCCAATTAGCAACAAGGCAAGTTTGTCTAACAAAAAGATCAAAGTACAGCCCTTCTCGGACTTTTTTCGTGTGCGTGCTTGGGAAGAGAATTTGTGAATACATAGTGCGCAGTGATAAGAAGAGAAAGAGAGGGTGGTGGAGAGGAGGCGAAAAGCATGTGAAACGTGGAACAGAAGTGTCTGATGCCAAAATTGTTGTGTCTTCCAGAATATCGCAAATCAAAGCTGGAACAATGAGTGCGCCGAGTGAGGGCGGCGCGGGAGGAGGGCCGGTGGGCGGTGGAGGTACAGCTACAGCGTCATCAGGTAAGTTCGCCGATATCCAAGTGGATTATTTATATATTTATCCACATACGTATATACGTATAAGCATTGTGCTCGTGTATGCGTGTGTATACATAACATTTGTGCACTTCTCTTTTGCTCTCGCATACGCGCACTGTTTGTTTCCTATTTCTCTTTGTGCTTCACCTTCGCAGCAACGGCTGCTCTTCTCTCTGTGAGTGTGTATGTCTTTGTTTTGTTGTTACTGTGCATTCGTGGCAGGGTTACCAACGGTCCTGAAATTGTTCTTATTTTACTGAAATTAAAAGATAATCAATTTCCAGTTATGTATCTATAAATTGGTTTATTTGGTTTTGAAAAATTGTGTATTTTAATATACATCTATTATAAAAACCATAGAAAAAAGAAAGAAGTACTTTTTTAAGCTTAAAGCTTAAACCAAACAAATTAACCCATGTTGTTATATGTATGTAGCACTCCAGTTTCACTTGTCCGTCCAATGGTGTTCCATGTGGAACTTTTAACCAAAATCTCACAGTAGCCACCCACTGCCACCCGCACAGCCCCCCTGAAAACCATTAAGATACGCACCCAACAACTGCACACACATGCAGTGCCATCGTTGTCATTGCTGCCATCTATATATCCATCATCATCATCATCTCTGGCAGCCACTGGATCTCTATCCGCCTCCGCATCTGCATCCGCATCCGCATCCTTGGTATCGCACGCACATCCGCCCTTGCAGCTGCGCGGCGTCATAAACAAGTACTCATTGCCATCCCATTTGCCATCCTCTGCAGCGCACCCGGCGGTGGCCGCCAAGATCACTCACGTGAAATCCGACGGCGGCGGCGGGATATCCATTGCGGGCACACCGATCCTCAGCGGAGGCACAATTAAGGTGGCAGCGGCCAATCCAGTTCAGCAAAATTCCCTGGGAGGAACTCCAATTGCTTTGAATGCAGGACAAGCGACCACAGCGGCTTCGATCCGCGCCATTGGCGCTGGTGGTCAGTCCACACAGGTCCGGGTGGTGATGCCAATGATCAAGCAGCTAGAGAATGTTACGGCCACCGGAAGGACTCAGATTACAGCCATACCAGCTGCACCGGCGAGGAGTGGGGCGAATGCATCGATCACGGTTACCAGGCCCGTATCTTTGCCACGAGCCAGTGTGACAGCCACCCAGATGGGAGGCGTTGGCGTTGGAGTGGGCCAGCGCCTCGTGACGCCATTAAGAGCCACATCATCGGCCACTGTAACGCCCACAGCCCCAACAGTACTGAGTTCAACCGGAGGATTTGTACGCGGAGCAACAGCATCGGTGAGCAGAAGCGGAGTGGCGCTCTCGTCGCAACCATCGTCGGCTGTGATCTCGTCCAGCAACAGTGGTGCATGGATGCAGAATCAGGGACAGGTGCAACTCATCCGGACCATTCATCAGCCACGCCAGAGGATTATTACGACATCCGCGGGAGTTTCAAATGCCAGTGTGGTGACCACTACTCCAGTGCAGGCGCAAACAGGTAAGTTGTATCTTTTCAAACTCTGCAACAGTATTCTAATTGCTCTTCCATACAGCTCTTTCTCTTTCCGCTGGCCAGCCCTTGACGACCCAACAGGCGACGGGACCCGGAGGAGGTGGTCAGGCCTATGTGGCCACCGTATTGCCACAGAGGCAGCATCAGGCTACACTAGTTTACTCCTCCAATGTGTCGGCGCCCAATGCAAGTCAGAATCCGGGCCAGCAATTTAATCCGCGCTTTGCTGTGGCCACGCCCGCAGGCGGAGTAACAACCACGACTCCCGGCGGAACGACAGTAACACCTCGACAGGTGCGACCCATCCCGCTGGGCAAGAGTTTTCCAACCGCAAAGCTGAACACTACCAGCATAAGTATCAGGGCACCAAGCATCCCGCAGCTGAATACCAGTGTTACGGCTTCACCAACGGCCGTTAGTGTTTCTGGTGGAGCAACAGTGGCGCCCGGGCGGGGTCCCGGCGCCGGAGGAACTGCCCTGACCGCCACTAATTTGTCCACCACACGGATCATCCAACTGCAGCAGCCTGCGACGGGAACAACCCAGCAAATCATCGGATCTGGAGCTCGTCTGGCCGGGAATGTGATGCTGCAACCATTCTTGATGAGCACTACCGCTGCGGCTAAGATGGGTAAGTTGATACTCCTAATTGGGCTACCTCCAATGTGCCCACGAAAGAGCAAGTCATCGAATTTAGCAATCTGTAAGGCAATAGAAAATTCTACAACACTATATATTATATATATGTATTTACATGTGTAAATATGCTGTTAAGCTTAAAACTATCGATAAACCACTTTCACTGTCATCTGGACATCAGAAAATGCAGTGTAAATTTGGAGTTGAAAGTAAAATCTCAATATCCCAAAATCATACAACGCTCTCGCCCCATCAACTACCCACGAACTATACTTCGGTTCCGTCTACATCTAACATCTTACTCGGTTCCTAAATGGTATATGCTCCCTACCAATCCGCCAGAACTCCATAACCATTGACGCTCAGAATTCCCGTCTTGCCGGCTCCAAGACCTCGTATTCCAGAGAGCTCTGGGTACTGATGAAATGGCCAAGGCCTTCGGATCAACAACGATGAACAGCGTGCTGATATTGGAGAAACAGCTAATGGATAGGACCAAATATCTGGATCTAATCATCAAAGAGTACCATAATAAGCCAATGGTCAAGACGATGCCTGTTTTAAAGCAGCGCTCCAACTCCCAGGAACAAGTAAAGGACGATCTTTTGGCCCTGCAACTACAAGTCAATTCTATCCGCAAACTAATCATCAGAGATCCTGCAGTGCAGACTTCGCCAAACGGCATTGAAAACCAGGACGAAAGTGATATAAAAGAGGGCGCCAACGGACGTGATCGCATAGCAAAAGTGCAGCAGGCCACACCACCGGTCTTCGAAATTGGCAAAAAGCGACCTTTTTGGAGGTCCATATATTTCAGGGATATAGTCGAGCAATTTAGGCGAAGGGCGGCCCAAAGAACCGAAATAAATATGAATCACTTGAACGAAGCAAATCAGATATTTCTCAAAAGCAAGTATAGGCGCATTGCCTACGAAGGCCGTATGTACAGGAAGCACCACTTAGAGGAAGTTATACCGAAGTCCATCCATGTCGTCGAGGAGGTACAAATCAGCAGCGAGCTAATTCCGCTGACCAAAGAGCACCGGAGTCGGCTGATGGAATTATCTGAGGGTCCATTGCAGCAGGTGATTGTGTCCAAGTTCAAGTTGGACCTCCACCGCAGCGAAATAAAAATCTTGACTGAAGGCGCCTGGCTCAACGACGTAATAATCAACTTCTACATGAACCTACTGGCCGAGCGGTCGGAGAAGCGTCCTGGTCAACTGCCCAGCGTGTACGCCATGAACACTTTCTTTGTGCCCCGCCTGCTGCAGAGTGGTTTCGATGGCGTAAAACGCTGGACTCGGAAGGTGAATCTCTTTAGCAAGGATATCATACTTGTGCCTGTTCACCACAACGGCGTTCACTGGTGCCTGGTTATAATCGATCTACGTGCCAAAACAATGCTTTACTACAATTCATCAGGCGGTGGCAATCCGAGGCTGATGGGAGCGCTAGAGAAATACCTGCGAATGGAGTCGTTGGACAAGCGCGAGCAGCCTCTGGACACCAGCGGCTTTCGCATCGAGCATGCCCAAGATGTGCCGCAACAGGACAACATGGACGATTGCGGCGTTTTCACCTGCATGTTCGCGGAATATCTAACCCGGGATGCTTCAATAACTTTCTGCAAAGATGACATAAATTATTTTCGCATTAAGATGGTTCTGGAGATGGCCGACGGCGAGCTGTGGAAGTAGGCGTTCCGCTTGCTAAACCTATATTTTATAGAGCTTACTTTTACTTTACTTTATATTTTATAGCTTACTTTTTATAAGTTGAGTTGACAATAAACTAACATTAAATACAGCGTTGTAAGATTTACTTCTAGAAATTTTCAGAATTGTTTTGTAGCTTGCTCTTTTGTAAGCGGACGGAAAAGAATTTTGTAAACTCCATACTCTTACATTACCATAATAATCTATATCTTTAAAAATATCCATTCGACAGGCATTCGTCCACCAGTCACCATGACCGCCAAAGTCCAGCCATCGCTAACTATCACACAGCTTAATCCCATCGGAAAATTGTCAACTGGCGGAGGAAGTGGAGGGGCAACGATGACGCCGCAGGGCGTGGCCAGCATCCAGGCGGTACCAGTGCCGAATGCCAACGTGGTCAATCCAAGCTCGGTGGCGGGTGCCACATCGGCGGCCGGCGGAGCCACGGTTCTGCCACTAACCATCAGCGGTAGAGGAACGGGAGTGGGACCAGGCGGTAATATACTCACGGGAACTCTGACGCCCATCAAGAACGCCAGCGGAATCACATTGGGCAAGATGATGATGGCTCCAGCCTCCTCTGCGCCCGGAGCAGATGGTTCCAGTACAAGCGGGGCAACAGTGACGGGCTTTCAACGCACCTGGAATCCGGTAGTCGCTTCACAGAGCCAGTTGATGAAGGTAGGTTGAAACTATCTATACGATGATGTGACTAACTACGAAAGCTTAATGTTTATATAATTAAATATATAGATCGATGAGAAGGGAAGTGCTGCCACAATCTACTACGAGTCTATGCCAGCCTCCGCCTCCACAGGCGTTCTATCATTGACTACGACCACAGTGACGCAGAGCACCCAGGCCCAGGCACAATTGGTTAGCAGCGCCGGTGGCAGCTTGTCGGTATCTTCGCTACCCTTTGCCAGTCATGCGACTGCTGGAACGGGATCAGGGGGAGGCGGATCGCAGGCTACTTTTACGGTACTGCCCTCAGGTGCTGGTGGAACAGCTACCCGGACCATTGGTCACCAGCAATTGATAATACCAGCAGGACCAAACAGTGCGCCGCCGCAGCACATGGTTATTCCGCTGCATACGTCCGTGAAGGTGACAACGGGAGCGGGCAATGCGCAACAAGTAGCAGGAAGTGGAGCACTGGTGTCCAGCTTTATGCGCAAACGGGATGCGGACGGTTCGCCCATACGGGCGGCTAAAAATCTAGGACCCACTTTGCTCTCAATGGCTAGCAATACCAGTGGACAAAATATGCCACCGGCTCCGGGCACCACTTTCAACATTCAGCCAGTGTCCGTGACAGTGCCTCAATCAGTCGCTTCCGGGCTGACCGTAGAGGCGCTGGCCAAGAAGGAACGGGAGCGAGTCACCCATGGTGTAGCAAGTAGCGCGGCTAGTGTGCCTGCCACAGTTGGCACCGTAAACTCAACTAGCACAAGGAACTCGAGGGCGGATTCGCCGGCTTCGTCGGACGGCTCAACTACAGTGTCGGCGAATTCCTCGCCTGGTGTGGATCAGCAATTACAGGACAGGATTGGCGATCCGCCAGCAGCTGGAAGCGCTGGTGGACGCGATAATTCCATGCATTTTAATCCCATCAATGAGGTATGTACAAAAAAAATATATGCTTAAGTATAGCTTAAATGTTTGTTCTTTAAAAGATGTACTCCTCTCACCAATCGATGCAGCAGAACCTTGGTCACTCCTCACTTGGCGCCCGCAGTGGTAGCAGTGCCTTTGTGGATGTGCAAGCACCAACGCCGCAGCAGCAGCAGCCGCAGCAGATGCCTCATTTGGTGGGATCGGCGCAAATGCAACAGGGTACGCGCATGAATGGTACTGGTAATAGCTCCAGCTCCAGCTATGACTGCTCCTCTAGGAAAAAGCCGCGACGATCAACGTGAGTTAATTGGTTGGTTGCATCTATGCAATTAATTAATTCCTTAATGTATTTGACAGCAATGACAGCCAGCACTCCACGCAGAGTCAAGCATCCCTATCGCTGCCTCCTCCAAGTGCGGAACCAGCGACGGCGGCTGGCGCATCCTACATGCAGAAGCACAACAATGGAGGACTGCTGGTGACAGCAGCGACCCCGGGTGTTGCTCCCAATAGTGCGCCTGGCGATGCCAACCACCGGAACAGCACACCAGCTGTGACGGGCAACAAGGAGAACGCCAATCCCGTGGACTTTGTGATTCGTCGTCCGCGCAATTGTGCTTTGCTCAATGTAAGTTGAATGTTCAGTTCGTTGTTCAATGTGGTAGTTAACACATGCTTCCGTTGATCTACAGACGTATAAGCCCACACATAAGTTGGCCAACAACCATTTCCATCGGTACACTGATGTTAAGCCAAGGGAAGAGCGGCGGGCTACAGTCATTGACTTGGCCAATCAGCCAAATGTGCAGGGCAAAATTAATGGATGGAAAATTTATCATTTACGCTCGCAAATGGAGGACTTGGTAAGCAATGCGCAAGGAATTATTGGTAGCACATTGACTAAACTGATTTTTTCCAGAATGAATCCGAAGTTTTTAGTTTGGGCAGACTGGAGACCATGCTGCAGGATCTCGAGAAGGACAAGGAGAAGCACAGCGAAATTGAGCGAGTCACTGAACTGCTAAAGGTGCGCTCTCATTATTACATCCATTATGCTTAAGTCTCAACCTAAAACATATTTACCTTGCAGGGCAACATTCAACGCAGCAAGATTATTACCGATGGCATCAACGAGGCCCAGAATCAGTTGATGAAGATCTTCGAGCATAAGCCACACGTTTCTGATATAATCACCCGATGTGCTTCGAAAAGGAATTTCAAGAAGCGCGAAAAGATCTAAAAGCAATTGACAAACGGAAGCCTAGCCAAGTGTATTGATAAGTTGTACATTACTTAACGTAAGCATAAAGTTTAGATTTAAGATTTAATTACCTTAAACGCGATCGATTTGTAAGTCGTACAGTTACAAAGAAAACCAGCAATATTTTTTCAATTTCCTAAGCTAGAAAGAAAAATACAAGAACCCTCGAGTTGTATTAAGTAGAAAATTGTTTATTTGATTTGACTGACTGAATGTTTCTGTGAGTTCCCTAGATTTGGTCTTTCAGTAGAACATTGTAAGATCTTGAAGAAATTTCAGAAACATACTAGATGAATTAGTTGTTTGAAAGCATGGGCGGCGGTGGAGGAACGCCATTGAACATGGGATGCATAGCAGGACGTGGCGGTCCTGGCATGGGGAATCCGCCTGGAGGACCCAGCGCCCTATGTAGATTCGGCGGCGGTGGCGGCAGGATCTTTGGCTCGAACTTGAAGGCGAACTGAAGGAAGAACTGCTTGGTGTCACGGTTCCAGTGCGTCCAGAACTTGCCCTCGCTCTTCTCCACTTCTCGGGACGGCACCTTGAATCCTATGGTCTCATAGGGCTCGGCGGCAAAGAGAAGGTACTGCCACTTGCGGTCTGGCGGCTCGATCTTCTGCTCGTAGGCGGACATGAAGCGGTGACGCGGAACAATGGACTCTGTGATTTCCGGGTAGTCCACTTGAAAAAGTAACGACTGCTGGCCGTTGCTGAGTTCACGCTGCTTGGTCACCCGGTAGCCGGGTCGTCCAATCTTGACGAACTTCTTGGGCTCCACGCGTGGCTTCTCGGGCGCCAGCAGCGAAGAGGGTGCCTCTTTGGCCTCCTTGGCGGCTCTTCTGGCCAGATTATCCTGATGCTTCTTGCCCTGCGTGTGGGCCAAATAGCTGCCCTCGTTGTTGTGCAGCGTTAGGCACAGTTTGCACTCGTAGGAGCCCAGATGGTTCTTCATGAAGTACGGATCCTTGTTCAGATCGATTGTCTCCAGGGCCAGTTGACGCAGTCGCTCCTTGCGGTCGCGGTTCGTCTCCGACCAGGAGGCCACGCCTCCGCTGCCGGTCTTGCCGCCGGCGCGGTTTTGGAAATCCATTTCGTGAGCTTTATCTTAGTTCTTTAACCGTGAGAAGAAAAAACGTTTTGCGTCGGTAAAATCTCACGAAAATTTGTTGTACAGAACAGGGTTGTCAAACCCTTTCGGTTAGGGATGACAGTTTCCCAGAGCCATTCGATAGTTTGTATGCAGGATACAAGTAATAAATAAATGATAAAAGAAAAGTATATTAATAATTACAGTTTATTTGTTGTTTGTAATTTTGTCGCAAATGGAACTTGTTAAATTAGCTGCAATAAATATACAACAATTTATTTTTATTTTATTTATTCAAAGCCAACATAAGGTATAAAACTATAAGGTACCCAAGAACTAGGAGCATTAGCAGTTAAGGGCTTCCGCTCGTCGAGGGTGACAATGGTTTATACAGGGTGAGAGAAGAATATAGTTTTATATTTTATGAATTATGAGTTGAAGTTTAGCAAAACGTTATAATTTTGTTGATGTTATCGTTCGTTGGGTTAGCAAGCGCGGTTATTGCGTTAATTGTTGGAAAGGCGGCTGTTCTATGAAGGGAAAGGGAAGGACAGCTATCTAGGATGTGTCTAACTGATGATAGTTGCAAATGGGACATATGTTGGGGCGCAATCTGTTCATGTATGATCATTGGTTAGGTTGGTAAGCCTGAGACAAAATTGTATATATAAGCCCAATATATTGCCTTTGCGATATATTTCGAAGACTAACATAGTATATTATTTTGGTATATTTTTCTGAAGCTTACGGAATATTATATTTTAACGAAGTGGTCATACTATTAATTTGAGTTGCACATGCTTGATCTTTTTTAGAATTTAAAAAGTGAAAAATGTCTAGGCAGCGCTCTAAAGTAAAGTAAAATTAGTGCTGGTGACAAGTATTAGACCTCGATAAGCGAGTTTAATGTAAATGTCACTGCGTGGATAACGTCGGATTAGAAACAAATCAAGGCAACGATAGGCCTGCAAACCGAACGAGTGTGAAAGAATTTCGATCTCTGTCGTCATTTTCGTAAAATAGTTTTGCCAGTATTACGGGAATTTTGAAAGTAACCACGAAATGGACGACTCCAAAAGGCAGATCGTCATGGGCCCACCGGCGGCAGGCACCACCACTTCCAACCAACCGAAGCCCGGTAATCCCAGCATTGCCCCTCCTCCACAAGCCACCAAAAGTGCTGCAGCTCCGCCCAAGCGGATAATTAAGAAGATTCAGCTGGATTTCAACAAGCTCAAGGAGGCTGGACTCGACAGGCAGCTGGCCGAGGTCCTCAGAAAGCAGAAACTGGATGCCAAGAGGTTGCACCACCCAGCATCCACCAGTCTTTCCACCTCGGCCGCAGCGCAGTCGACGCCCACTGCGGCAGAGAGCAAATTGCAGTCGCCTCAACAACAATTGCGTCAGCCTGGTAAAGATACACATATATTTTTTTTAATCCGGTGCACCGCTTAAAAAACCGTTATATAGTGGGGTGTTCTTACCAAGTGGGTGCAAAACCTTCTAAATGCTTCTACGAGTTTCGGACACTGGGATAGACATCGAAACGATGGCGCAACTGATTGAGACGTCGGCAGATTGTCAAAGAGTTAGTTTTTGCGTTGTTTCTGAGTTCGCCTCACAGCGAGTGCCTTTTCTCACATTTTTTATTTTTATTGATTTTTAGTAAAATATATACATAAAAAATCCGTAAATCAAATAACCACCGAAGAGCGGGCTAAAATCAGGTTTTTATAGTTTTTGCAATTTTTTAGGTTAGTGGTATTAAGCCGGTTAACCAGTTAGATTTTACATGGCAAACACGACGTTAATTTCAAAATAAATAAAATACAATTAATGTAATGTTTATTACCAATTATAATTTATTATCAAACGTGGTATTTTAATAAAGATATACCTTACTTATATTTTAATATTCTGTTGGATAAATTATATTTTTAAACAAAATAACTTTCTGGTACTGTAATGCAAAATACTGCTAATACTAAAACCCTAAAAAAGTTTTTTTTCGAACAAATGCGGTTAATTATAATTAAACGGTGAAAATATTTAAAGAAAACTTAATTTGAAATTTGAACAGTTTAATTCATTATTAATTTTTCGTGTGCTAGTTGGGTTCCATAGGCCAACGCCACACATTTTAAAGATACAAAAAAACTAAAAATACAAAATATGCCTAATTAGCTCTTAATTCATAAATATAATACCCGTGCAAGGGTATATATTTTTTTTGAATACTCCTGCACCAAACTAGATTCAAGATCCACTATTGCCACTCCAGTTCGTATTCTTTCGGTGGTTCAACCGTCAAGTGCGCGCTCAAAATGAGGTTAGGGACGGAGCGTCGATGCGAGGCAACATAATTCCCTTTTTGGCCCGGGTTCAAATCCCAGTGCGGTCAAACTGCCGTTTGTGTGTGCGATTGTTTTTGCTATTATGTGCTCTATCTGATTTTATTTACTGTTTGCTTTAGCAATGAGTAGAATCTTTATTGGGGAAGATGGCTTATTTCCCTTTTAAAAATACGCTACGTCATTAGTAAATATAAGTATGTAGAATAGACCAAAAATTTCTTTATAACTACCTTTGTAGTTCTGCCTATCGTTCCATACATTAATTATTTATTTTCTCAATTTACAGCACCTCAGCCCTTAGTAAAACGTTATATGATCTCGGAACACATCGAGAAGGTGGTGCCCATCCAGCCGATCCCAAATCCGACGGTTGGTGACCGTTCCAAGCAAGTGAAGGCGCTTTTAAAGAACAGGATACTAAACAAGAGCTTGGTCATAAACACGAAGGCTCAGCAGAAGCCAACAACTTCTAAAGCAGCAACCACGATGCCACCACCTGTCTGCCAGGACTCAGCTCCTCGCAGTGGCGGGATTTCCCCAGCTCCTGCAGCCTTCTCCATGCCCATTGCCAAGGCGGACTTGACTGTCCGACAAAAGCAGCCTCCACTTTTGCTCAATTTGGTAAATCAGCTGCCCAAACATCGAGCCATGTGCATATCGAGTAACAGTCCGTTGGTAAACCAGCATCATGTTTTACCAAGTCCACAGAGGATTCCAGTACAACAAACTCCGCAAGTTTCCAGCCAACATCATCCAGCTCCAGAGGTTTCCACAGCTCGAGCAGCCTCTGCTGTTCCCACCCAACTTCATAGGACCCCATCGCCGCCACTAATTGTGCTGGAGAACAAGGTGTTGGCACCCAATGAGAAGATCGATTTGAGTGGGCTTCGCCTGCCAAATGCTCCGCTGGAAGCTACGAATTCTCCGGATACTGCTGCTACACCAAATATCCAATCTAAAGTGATCAAGGGTAAAGTTATTATGAACGCCAATAAGTTTAAGGTATCGCGGGAAAAACTGGCAGAGATGGCCAAAGAGATTCGTAATCAGGTGGATCAGGTGAAAAAACCTCAAGCTGTCAAAACACTTAATTCAATAGAAGGTAATTCCAAAATTGAAACTCCTTTCACTAATAACACAATACTTCAACCACAACGAACTTCGCCTTTCTCTACGCCAACCCTGAAAGGAAATGACGCTCCTTTCAATAATCCAAACCGAAATAAAACAGCAGATTTTTCGGCTGGCTCAAGTAAATCAAATCCATTACCTGTAGGAACTACAAAACAAACTATGGAATCGAATGAGTCTAGTACAGTCTTTCCTACAACAGTGCCTACAACACTTGGCGATCCAATTACTCCTGATTCAAATCCTTCTCCCGAGCAGCCAGAATGCGTACCAACAATTTCAGAAATGGAAGGAGTCAAGACAGTTGAAAACCCCCTTGATTTTCCTGTATATATAACGTCAACTCCTGAGCCCAAATCAGTCACCACCACAGAGCAAAGCCCTCTAAAATCCTTTGCTGAAATGATAGATTATCCGGAAGTAAATGCTCTTGAATCAAGTACTCCTGTTTATATTCCATTAACTGCGGGAAGAGCAGAGGTTACCACAGAATCAAACGCGGTTGGTTTGCCTAAAGAAGTGAAGCGGGATGTGGTTACCTCAACATCCAATTCGAATAGGAAGGTAAACGCAGAAATAGGAGATTTGGATTCTCGAGCGGTCACTTCAGCAGCAGATAAAGCAGAGTCGAGTTCAACTGCGGCTACATCACCAGCGCATAAAATCCAAACCGCTGTTGATTTCATAGCTCAACTGACAGCTGAAAATCCACTAGATGAAAGCAGCTTTATGGATCTGTCACCGGAAGAACAAAGGCTAAGTGCTCTATTTGGATTTGGAGGATGCTCGTTTGCTAGTGCGTCGATTGATCAACCCGTGGAGGAGCTACCCATAGGAAAGATTGTCAAAATGGACGATATGAATATATTGCACGCTACTTTGGACATAAGCAGCGACAGTACAAATGTACTGCGGATCAGTCCCAACGCAGTGAAAATGCAAAGCAGTGTAACAGCATTGGATAACTCATTGGTTGAGTTAGATGTGGGAGATGCCACTGCAATCGAATCAAAAAATGTGAAATCTTCGGTAGACGAGACCCCAATTCAAGAAACCAAAGAAGTAACCACTGTTATTCCAACTTTGCCAGAAAAATCTGACGAAAAATCACATGTACCTTTGGAAGAGGTCAAGACAGTGACAGATCCAGAGCCTTTAAAGGAGGTCAATCCTCCCGTGAAAAGGGCAGCTATCAGATCCAAAAAAGCTAAAATTAATCTAGTGCAACGCACTAAAAGACCAAGTAACCCAAAGCCAATTGAAGTGAAGAAAGCCAAGTTAGATTTTGAGGAGGACGACGAGCAGGCGTTGGCTATCGATCACAGCCTGATGGAGGATCGATACGGAGTCCCTGGAATCGAGGTAATTGACAATTCAGCTAGCCCAAGCTCAGACCCAATAAATCATAATTTATCTAGTGTTAAAAACAATCCAAAGGTGCCAGCAGATGAGAAGCAGCGTGAAGAAGAAATCAGTCCAGTTCAAGAAGAAGATTCAGCGAAAATCCAAGCCGATAAAGACAAAGACGATGAGAGTGAAATTCAGTCGAAATCATCCTCAGAACGAGACCTAAGCCAGTTGTATCACCCACCCAAAATGCCTAAAAACAAATCAACACACAAGACCAGCAGTCACGACTCCCTTGATGATCCACAACCCACATCGTCGAGCAGTAATGTCTCCCTAATGGACGTCCTCTCACAGGATCCACCTGCTCCACAGGGCGAGCCCCAGTTACCATTTCGAAAGGACTCCAAGGAGCTAAGTACCAGTGCAAATAGCTCAGTTGATGTCACAGGAATACAGAATTTAATTGGCCACTTGACTGCCGAAAAGGTGGTGCCACAAACCAAGAAGCTTTCGCCAACTCCTAAATCAGAAGAGGCATCTAAAGTGCTGTCCCGCAAGAAGCTTGTTAAGACACGTCCTGTGCTCAGCAAGAGATCCACAAAAGTTGGCCAGAAAAATCCCACTGAAAAATCCGTGCATTTTGAATTTCTTCATCCTGTTAGCGCGAATGCGGGAAATCGGGTTCCCACTTCCAGCACTAGTGACGATGATAGTTCCATATTTCTGGGATTCGATGACACCGAAGCGAAACGTTCTAGGTCTCCAGTAAGAGGCAAGCGAGTGAAACAAATGAAGATTAATGAAACGGACATCAGCGATGACGCTACACCTGATTACGATGAGACCGAGGAGGAGCAGCAATCTATGGAGATACAGCAACCAGTTAAGAACCCTGAGACTGACTCTCAGTTTACTTTTAACCATCACAAGGTTGTGGGACCTTTTTCTGATGATTCAGATAGCAGTAATACTGGTCCTTCTAGTCCAATGGATTTTGGAGCTAACATGTCGATAGATGACAGCAGAACGAGTGAAGAGTGTCCAAAGAAGGATGGAACTGTATGGGAAGAACTGGTAAAGGAAAAGTCTATTGCGGGTGAGGGAATTTCTCCTGCAAAATCCAAAATTGAATCAACAGTAGATTGTTCCAAAATTGATGACTCACCAAAGACGGATGTGGATGCAAATTCAACTAATCATAGAGTAGAATCTCCTTCCTGTGCTTCCAACGAAAATGAGGATGAAAAACAGCTAGAACCTGTGATAACCGAAAAGGATTCCATAACTATTGACAGCAAATCACAACACAGCAGGAGAAAGTCGAAAAAATCAATTTCAATTACTGCTGATGAACCGGGTGATAAAGATACTTCAATTACTAGCAAGGTCGACGAAAAGCGATTGACTAGAAGTCCTTTAAAAACACCAGGATCCCTGGAAAATACTGGCATGGAAATCTTGGCTGGGGGTATGGCGTCTGATAAGCAAAATGTACCTCTAACATCTCCCAAAGCTGTAACAAATCTGAAAAATATAAAATTAAAGGAAAAACAGGAAGAAGTATCGATTGAGAAACCAGTCTCATCGTTAAGATCCAGAGGAAAAAGAAAAACTGGAAATTATAAAAAAAAAATCGATGAGACTCAAGAAGTTAATGATTCAGAACTAACTTCTGAAAAATCAAGTGGCTCGAAAAAAGACGAAGTGGCGACAGCAGAACGATTGGAAGAAGGTGATCCATTAACGAGAGCTGATAATACAGAAGACACAGATTCCATACGAAATTCCAAAGACAAAATCTCCGTTGAAAACACTGGCACTAGGGGAAAACGAAAATCTCGTTGTATAGATTTTAAAGGTTCTAGGAAAGAGGGGAATGATATCAAAGTACCAGAGAACGATATAATTATTTCAAAAGACGATTTACCTTTAACTATAGTAGCTAATTTAGCCTCAGTTGAGAAACCAGATGAACAAAAGCCTGTTGAAATTCCGGAGGTATCAGTAAAATCAAAAAGAAGTCGAAGATCGCTTTGCGCAACCCCGAAAACTCAAGGGCCATCTGTTATTCAGCCTGAACCAGTATCAAATCCTGTATCATCTTCAGAAAACGCGACACCTAGAATGGACGATGATGTGTCAGAGGAGAACGAGGCCAAAAATAAGCGACCAACTCGAAGTAAATCTCCAAAAACAAAAGGTTCAACTATTAAGCAGATTGCAAGTCTAGAAAGTTATGCAATTAAAGATCCAGATGCACCCAGTAAAGCTGAAGGTTCGACGAGACCAACTAGACAACGGCAATCTCGTTATAGCAAAGCTAAATCTGATCCCAAAAGTCCAGCAGATTCTGAACCTGAAAAACCAACCGATACCGGTATACCAAGTGTTACTCCAGATTCAGGTGAGGCAAAAGCTGGTGCTTCGGAGGAACCAAGCGGAGAAGTTCATCTGAATCTTAACAAGGAATCCTGTCAAGAACAAGTAGCGTGCAAGGACTCCAATCAAGCGAATAATTCTCCAAAAACCAGGAGAAAACGACAATCCCAAAGTGGAACAACAAAAGTAATAGTTCCAGCAGCGACTGATTTAAATCCGGAGAAATTACCCACAGATAATAAAGATGAAAGAGTTCAAGCCCCAAAAGACCAGATAAAGCCGACAACGTCTAAAAATTCGAGGGGAACACGACAATCTCGATCCATAGCTCCTACAAATACTCCAGACACAATGGTTGCCACGCCTTCAGAAGATCATCAGTCGGTTAAAAGTGAAGTCAAACGGAAGACTTCATCCCGAATAGAATCAGTTCCACCAGACACGCCGATACCTTCAGTAAACGTTTCCGACGAAAGTGCGGTTCTAGAATCGGCTCCTAAAAAAGGCAGAAGGAGTAAGATCACTAGTGTAACACCTAACACCTCAACCCCGAAGTCAAGTGAATGTGGTTCTCCAAATGCTAGTGAGATGATCCCGCCAACAAGTGAAGAGCCGAAGGTTCCCACGAAAAGGGGAAGAAAGCGCGCTCCGCCTTCTGATATAGAACCTCAATCAGCCAAAAAGTTAAAGACTGAGGAATCTTTGGAAGCCGAAAGCGTAGTTGATTTTAATCTTCGCCTTCTACTCATAAGAAAGCGGGATCAGCTGGACACAGACGAAGTTTTAACCGATGACGGAAAAGGGCAGGGTCCTCTGCAATGTGGCTTGTGTATGGCGCGCAGCGAGAAGAACAATTGGCAGCGTCATTTAGGAGAGCATTATGGAGTTGGTTGGCTTGTGGGAGAAACACCCAAGGTAGGCTTGCTTATACAAACTTTAATCTAAATCTGAATTTTAACTTTCTTCATAGAACATCACGCGTGCTGGTATAATGACAATGATGAAGAACTACCTTCAGAAAAACGGGGGAAAACTAACTTGCCGCCTTTGTAATCATCAATTGGGCTCTTACTTGGGCATGATGCTCCATCTGGAGGGATGCGGCAACAAGCAGCGCTTTCAGTGCGAGTTCTGCCAGCGCTCCTATACCAAACTCTCACTGCCGGTCCATATAAGAACTTGTCCAAAGCGCATAGCGCTCCCGGTTCCTGAGGATCCGGAAGATGCGGACGGAGATGGCAAAGAAACCGTTTTTAGTAATGCTGGCCGGGCCAAGCGGAAGTCTACAATTAAGTAAGTCATTATTAATTTATTTGTTTTAGGTTTCTAACACATATTATTTACTTTCAGAGCTGAAACCAAATTAAAGAAAATTGGAGAAGCCCTGACAACGCAAAATTCGGTGGAGGGGGCCTCCGCAAAGAACGATTTCGATGGCGATTCATCGGACTATGATATGACCAAAGACAAGGAGTCGTCCGAGGAATATGATTCGGAAGGAGTGGATTCCAATGAGGACTGCATAAGCAGTGAAGGTGAGGGCAGCTTTGGCGACAATTTCCCCCCATCCAAGCACTCGAAAGCAAACCGACGAGGAGACATTGACAGGAAACGAGTATATAAACGACCAGTAAATGTGGGAGAGTGTCAGCAGAAGCCTTGTAAGTAATTCAAATCACTAGTAATAGTCATATTTAACGTAATTTCTACACTGCAGTACTGTCACGTTATCATCACTTGGAGGCTAGGGCGACCCATAGATGGAATGAATTGTAAGCCAGCCGAGAATTATCAAATTTTGTTCTATTTTTAAATTATTTTTATGCTTTAGCGTGCAACGCAATTATGCTGCTGGTGCTTTATTCACCCAACTGCTGCCCAGATATTCGAACATCTCTAAAAAGAATGCTGATGGCTTGTTACCACCCAAGAACACACCATCTATGCGCTATGCCTATGGTAAAGTTATAAACGAAGACGATTGGAAACAACTGGCACCGTTTGAGGGCTTCAATAAAGAAGGTATGTAAACAGAAAAGAAACCAAATTAAGGGGAAATTAATGTGTGTTTATTCACAGGTGAATATGTAGGCTATCTGGGCGGCTCGATTAAGAAACTTGAATGGGTGCCTCTACCACCGAAAGCTGCAAACCAATACCTTCTATGTTCCGTGCGACCAAAGATGAAAGCCTTTGCAAGACATACAAAAATAAAGGATGAAGATGCTCTATTGATGTTACTAAAGTGTAGTGCCAAGAATGCGGGCAAATCATGGACCCTGCAACCAGAACTTCATTATGGAGTTCATGTACCCAATGGACCTGTTCATAGTTTTTCATTTCTGCCCAGTGGTGGCTATGATAAGTCATCGAATCGATTAGGCGTATTGGCTGTGGCGAATTCATTGAGTAGTGTTCACATTTATGCCCTGCCATTGGAGCTGACCAATGATGAAAATGCCGACGATAAGGTGGTCATTCAACTAGATTCGTTGATTACGCTTACACTGGATATAAACAATCCTGTGCAGAATCAGTGCACTAAAATTTGTTGGTCGCTGGTAAGTTTGGTGCTGAAATGTTTATGCTGAAATAAAATCAAATTCTTGTAGTCTTCGGGACACAATTTCCTAGCAACAGGGTATAGCAGCGGTCACTTCGCCTTATGGGACATTGACGACAAGGACAATTTGAATTGTTTTAACAAAAATAATCAGACTCATTTTGTGCCTGTAAATTTTCTTTACCTAGGAGAGCGGAATGTTCAGTGTAAGTTTCATTGCTATAGCATTTTCCCTAAGAGTTTTTAAATTACTTTTGAATTTTCTCCTCAGATATGGATCTGCATTATGACAATAATGGTCCACGCTGGCTTGCGGTTGGTACTTCCATACGTCAATTTAAAATCTATGATATTGCAAACTGGTCGAACCCATACATACTCACACAAGACATCATTTCCAGTCTTTATATGGCTAATTTAACCTGGTCACCTATTTGTGAGACCCTAGTGGTCAGTAGTTCACGTAAGATCCGAGTGTTTAACTAACGGCCATACCAACTAATGATAACTTTTCTTTGCAGACTTTTTTCGTACTATAGCAGTTAGTCCCTCGGGTATACAATTCGAGCACAGGACCCTTGATGGAACCCTAACAACGACACGGGAAATGCACACGAATTGCCAGCAAAATCACATGGTGTTCGTAACTGACAATGGCGACTTGGTGTTCCTGGATGTGCGAGATCTTAACTGTGGCCCTATTCTGCTGAAGTCAACGGTTAACTCACGTGCTGTATCCACCACCGAGTTGCACCATTTAGGCTCGTCTGCTCCGAAGACCACGGATCCCATCACCCCCGATGAGTTCCTCCGGAACTACGGGTTGCAAATCAATCCCCTGATCCCTGAGCCCCACAAACGCAAGTCCACATACCTGAGCGCCAAACGTAGACCGCAAAACATAAACTCTCTGGCAATGACCAGATTCAATTGCGTTCGATGCAATTGGAATACGTCCACCCATACTTGGGTGGCCATGGGTGCCGAACATGGCATGTTGCGAATCCTCAACTTCGATCGAGATAAATTCTTCTAAAGGATTTTTTGACAACACTCTGGCAACTGAAAATCTTCTGAACAAGCACCATCTGAGATTATAACTTATTGTTTTACCATATAAGCTAATTAGTTTTAAAACTCGTTAAGAGGCAATTAATATATTGTGCAGAAATTGTTTAACTGTAATTTATTTATAGCTGTTGTAAAAATATATATATATTATATATTTTATATGGAGTTATTGTAGTTCATAACAAATATATTTACCTGCTTAGCAAGCAAAGATTGCAACTTAGACATTTTTGTATTCAATTGATGGTCAAAGTTTACAACTGAAATTGTAAACTAATAATCACTCTTGACGTATTTAAATATTGATGATCCCAAAAAATAACACAATGGGTTACAACATATTAAATATATTGATATAGTTTTATTTTCATCGGTAGTTTAAATTTTTCCATAAATACTATATGCAAGTTCAACAATGATAGACGGGATTTCATTATAGCTTTCAGCGATTATAAAATTAAATTCAAATATCGGTTGGAAAATTATTAAAAAAAAAGTGTATATTTTGGTTTTACTAAATAAAATATAGACATCTTCACCTCGCTAACTTGGCGTAAATAAATATATTGGCAAATGGCGTGGCTTACAACTTAAACGAGCTATGCTAAGTGAATCGACTGAATGCTTCTTGAAATTTAGACCCAAACAGCTACACATACATAAAGTTCATATACATAGACATACAATATGGTACAATTGGATTAGGAATTATCAAACAAATGCTTGCAAACATCTTAAAAGTCTGAACAAATGCAAGTATGCCTTAAAATTTTGTAAAACACGTTTCGTTGGTTAAATGAATAACACTAAATAAGCATACATACATTATATGGATATATATAGGTATATATGTTTTTTCTTAAATTGCTGTTGTCTTTTCTATGGCTGCAAAAAAATATTATCGCGGCTTTTCTGCAGTTGACCTTCAGTCTTCGCTCTTAGTTATAGTTTCCTGCAATTTTCTTCAACTTTATCTGAATCTTGCTATGCTAAACCGAAAATCTATGCGGATTTTAAATTCTATAAACAAATTCATCCATCGAAAACGCCAAATGACTTGCACTAAACGCGAACATAAATCGAACGTATATTAACAGCAAGTTAACAGTGATTTCCGGACCGTCTTTTCCCTTCCGGTTTGCGAATTGCGATTTGCGTTTCTGGCTCTACAGGTGGATATTGCCCCTTTACTTTTCCGCGGGAATCGCTTCAGGAGTCGACCGGCTGCCAGCCAGCTCCTGCTGAATCTCATTGAGACTCTTGCCCTTCGTTTCCGGCACGGCGAGGAAAACGAATATAACTCCCAGAACAGTCAGACCAGCGAAGAGCCAGAAGGTTCCGCCGATTCCCAAGCCGTCGTTCAAGTTCACAAACGTCTTGGTTACCACGAAGGCCAAAAGCCAGTTGGATGTTCCGGCCAGCGATCCAGCGAATCCCTTAATGTCGGTGGCAAACAGCTCACCCATCATCAGCCATGGCACCGGTCCATAGCCAATCGAGAACATGATGATGAACAGGCACAAACTGGCCACTGGGAGCCAGCCCAGGTTGGCCACTTGTGACTTATCCTGCTTCTGGAGGTAGAAGTACACTCCGATGGCGGTGGTGGAAACGGCCATGGAAATTCCTGAGGCCAACAGAAGGATGCGACGGCCCAGTTTATCCACTACCAGGGTGGAGACAAAGGTGGCCACCACCTGCATGATGCCGATGAGGATCGATGCCCACTCGGCTTCGATGCCAGTATTGGCTTCCTGAAATGGAGGGAAGCAGATAATTTGTTATTTATTTCTAATGGAATTTAAGAGTAATCCTATTTCCACTCACCACGAAGATCCTCGAAGCGTAGAAAATAACAGCGTTGATCCCGCAAACCTGCTGGAAGAACATGAGACCCATGCTGATGGCCAGAGCCTTCCGAGTGACGGGACGGTTCAGGGCAGCCCACACGTTCACCTTGTTGGTCTTGGTTTCCCGATCGATTTCGCGCAGCTCCGCCAGTTCCGGCTCGTAGTCGTATTCCTTGCCACGCAGCCATTGAATGGACTTGATGGCGTTCTCCGACCGATCTTTGGAAACCTGTCGATGGGGATTTGCACATTAGACGTGTTGAATTACACGGGTGGTTTCGTATCTCTAAGATATACAAGGTCGGTTTGCTAGGGATTTAATCTTGATTGACTGGCAATGAATTTGTTCTATAGCGCGCCATTTAAGATATTAAATTTACAGGGTGTTTCCTTAAAAAAAATATGCCAACTTTTATATTTTTTATTTATATATTTTTTTATATTTTATATAAGAACTAAAGTTGGCTTGCAGGTGAAAAGCAAAAAGTATTGGAAACGAGTTTATTTAGAGCTCGAACCATTTTGGCTTTTCATAATCATTTACTTTAAATCGAACTGAATAATACTTGAATATTTAAAGTCTTTAAAGTTTTTTTGATGAAACTGAAGTCGCAAAAACTTACCAAGTAGGTGGGCGATTCCGGCATGAAGAAGAAGATGGCGCCAAAGACGAGGGGCAGAATGCCGCAAATGATGCTCAACCAGAATATTCTCACACCAGCTCCGACGGCATAGACGAACAGGATACCAATGGTTATCATCAGCTGGAAGTAGCTGCCCAGCGTTCCGCGAATCTCCTTCTGGGCAATCTCACCCGTGTACATGGGAGCGGTGACACAGAAAGCTCCACCGGCGATACCGAGGATGAAACGCGAGGCATACAGCATGCCCAAATTGGTCGCCCAGATGAGCATGGCCCAACCGACGATGAAGGGCAGCACCAGGAACAGCATGGTCCACTTTCGGCCAATCATATTGATCAGGAAGCCAATGGGAATGCACACGCAGGCGGCACCCAGAGTCATGGCCGAGCCCACCCACGAGAACTGATCCTTATCGACGCTGAAGTCGTATCCTTCGCCGCGATCCACCAGCTCCGTTTCGGCCGGCGATGTCCAGCCCAGGACGGTACCGGCGGCGAAGGCGCCACCAGCTGCAGCCAATGCGGCCACATATTGCGGCCACTTCTGGGAGTTATTCGAAGTAGACGTGTGCACCATGTTGCCGAGTAGGTTCTCCTGATCCTGCAAGGCACGAGGGAATTGATAATATTTAATTTTTAAATTCTATGATTTTAGGCAACGGGATTCGTTCAAGATATAAGCCGAGATCCTTTATCCTTGCTTTACATACTACGTTACCTTTCCCTTTTAATTAGATCTTGCTGCTCTGACCAACTGACTTGGACTGGGGGCCAGCTATAAGCTACCTCCAAGTATTATCATGCCATAGTTCTTGATAAGGTCAGAACCCCCGCTCAGTGATTAGGACATTTATTGGAGGTCCGATAGTGGGCACTTCGTCAAACGCCTGTGCACCGATATTTATTGCAGTCTCCCGGCCCCAAAAAATATAAAAGCTAGGGGCCATGGCTGTGCTCCTCCCAGCCCGATTGGGCTCAAGTGCTTCATTATTTCATTAAACCAGTCACATAAACAGAAGTAGCCCCCAAATTAAGGAAAGTTCGCGCGCACTCGCCACCAAATATCATTCATACGCCGAGTGGTACGAGTTTTACGCGCCGGACAGGAAAATCCCATAAGACCCCCGAGAAACTAGGGATGCCGCAGGGGAACTTATAAAGTTGAGACGCAAAGTACTATTATTATGCCCATGTGCTTCCACTTGAATGTTTTTAAGACCGGCACTTGATCAATGAAACTTATAAGCATAAGCCGATAGAGTTTCCAAGAAAAGGCGATTAAGTAAATGGAAATTACCGAATTAAAAGTTGCATATATAGAGTTCCAATGTTCATACGTTCATAGGTACACGTAACCGCATTGGAGATAAAGATCATGCCAAAATAACCCATTAGTATTAGCCACTCATTACGAGTCCATTCTACTTATAGTATAAATATTTCGTAGGAACGGAATAAATACATTCCCCTTTTATTTCAGTCCCCTTCCAAGGTGCCAAGATCAGTCAAGCAGCACCAATTAACTACTCATACAATGTTTGACCACATTGTTAGCCACACTCATTGACTTCCGTTCGTTGGCCATAAATTACTGGAAATCGGCTTACTTATATGTACATATTGCTTGGGTTATCGCGTGCCTAATCAGTAAGTTGCCCAAATTCCATTTATGAACGTGTTTAAGAATACTGCACAACGGGAACCAGCTAGCTGTATCACAGCTTTTATTTATCGAAAGCTTTTCAAAGATATTTTCATGTTTGTAAACAAAACAGATTCATGATGGTCGCCGATAAGCGAGTTGTTCTTTACTTTCTGTGCTTAAAAGGGGTGTGTTTCGAGGTTTTTCTTTTTTGACTAAATTAATAGATTTCATTTTGATTAAACTTGATATGTGATGTTCCCTGACCTATTTGTTCCAAATAATTAATTCTATAATGTATAATTTGCCAAATAGTGAAAAAATCGTAATAGCAGCTTATATTTGTAGTACATATCATATTTTTTTGCTTTTGGCACGTGTTATACGTGATTTGTACACTTTTGTGCGAAAAAGGGGCCTGTTCGAATTGTTTTTAACAAATTCAAAGCTTTTTCTTAGAGTGGAAACATTTGAAGCAAGGCGTAAATGGATTCCTTTACAGATTAGAAACAATAGTGTTCATTATCATAAAATTTTCGCATTGCATTCAAATCTTAGAGACCGTCGTTATAGCTTTTTCGCCTGGCGCATATGGGTAATTTATGGCCATTTTGTTAACGTCTATATCTTGCCTCAACCAATGTGTCGCCGCCCACTAAGAAATCCCACTCAGAGTTCGGTTGCCAATCTCACCCACGCGAAACGAAGGAGCAGGGAACAAATCACTTCCGTGAAAATGCAGGCCAAGATTTGCAGCTGGAAAAAGGAGAAGGCCATGTGCAAACAGGGCGTATACGCCCACATATTAACTGTCACTTTGCTTTGGTCGACTGGGGACACACCTCCAGATTGCCAGTCGAGAGTAAACGAAGCGTTCAAATCGCGTCTGAAACGCCTGAAATCGATATCTGTCCACGATTCTGTGCCTTGGCTCGTTTGAGTTCCGTCTGCGGCTAATGTGGTCAATCCATTGGCTGCCCGACGTTCTG